CCAGCAACATCCTGCATGCAGAGCTTTTTCATAAACTATGGCAGCATTTGAGTGTTCTTTTCTATACTTCTTCGTGTCAGTGAATATACTTTCCTGGAAGCAGTGTAAAGCTACTTCACTAATCAGATAAAAATTGCATGTTAATATATGCTCATTTGTTTTTATATAAATCATAATTTGAATTATGCAATATTTTTCATTTAAAGACCTAGTATGGATTATTCTTATGATATTTGCAATGGACACAGTCAGGTTTCATGTATATGTGTTTATGCGTTAGCCCTATCTATTAAAATTATCCGTTTTGCAGTGTGGAGTTCTCTAAAATTCATTTACAATTAGCTGCAGAACTGTAGCTGTCTGTGAGATAACATTAGGACAAACAACTCTAGTGTGTCAATATCCTCATCAATTAAATTAATTGTAACTGAAATAGATGTTTTTAATTTCTATTTTGTTCAACTTTACATTATCTCTTATAAATAAAAATGAAATCTTACCCCCCCCCCCTTTCCCCTGTAGCTCTTTCAAATTGGATTTTGTTTAAAGATACATGTATCATAGTACAGGTAACTTCATCAGTTTTTGATTTTTGTAATCATTATCCAATATGGTAGCCCTATTTTCAATAAAACAACGTAATTTTCGTACCTTTGCTCAGTGGCACTTGTCCACTTCTGCAATTGACGTCTCGACTCGAGTTTTTGCACCAGGACATCAAAAGTGGTGTGTGCAAATAGATTTTCTAGACAACCCCATGTGTGCATTACAGTAACAGATTTGATGAAAAAAATCATGTTTTTAATATAAACAAAGTATTAAATATTACCAGAAGTAACGTTGAGTGACATTTTTGATGTGTTGTGACTAAAATCGGAATAAAAGCGGTGTTCCAGCATTATTCGAAACACGGATATTAGGCTGGTATCATAACTTATACTCATAATTCCCTTTTTAAGGAGTGCATTCTAAAAAAAAAATATAAGGTTTTGATATTTTTAATAATCCCAACAATTAAGTTTAAATTTTAATACCTGTACTGGAATCCAAACTGCATGAAAATCTTTACAAAAAGATACATAGCGGATTCCAGTAAGTGTTCTACTAATAAAATATGGAGATAACGTACAGTATTAAAACTCAAAAGTCAACTGAAATAATACAAATCGAGAGCAGAGCAAACAAGGACATCTAAAACAGCAGAAATGGGATCAGGTGATATGGAGGAGTAAGTTATTCTCTTTAATTCTCTCTAAAATATTTGCAAGTGAAGGAGAAACTTCAGGTGTACTGTACAACAGTATATTTGTGAAATTGTGTAAATCAGATGTGTATGCTAAAAACCCGATGAATTATCCGAAAATTTAAATTACAAAAATTTAATAAAATCAAAAAAATCAAAAGGTTAGAATTTTAAACACTTCATACAAATATACCCCGCAATAAAAAAAAAAAAAAAGGTCTAATGTTTTCGAAATAAAGAAAAAATTCTTTTCAATAAAAATGTAACGTTCATTTCTTTACCTTGTCATCGGCCATTTGCAAAATTATTTTGTTGAAAAGCAGTCTGATAGTATACAGAAGTTTTCCTAAATTGACTTAAAAGGATGCTTGAGTTTCTGATGGACGATATCTATCAAGTTCTAGGGGATCATTTTTTCCAAAAATCTCATAATTCTTATGGGCACTAAGTGCGCCGCTTATTAGCAGACACTGTTTGTATTCATATGATGCAAGATATATTCACTAATGTCTATATGAAAAGATAAAAATTCTTGCTGTGGCCTTCAATTAAACAAATATATTGATGACGTTAAATCAATTAATAATATTAATTTTCATTTCTAAGTTGATTCGCTATATCCCTTTTGACTCGAAATAAAAGATACCAGAGCCCCCCCCCCCCCCCCGTGTTCAGTAATCGAATATTTACTAGACTTAGGCGTTAAGTTATTCAATGTATAACGACCATATTTTGTACATAATAAATGAATGGTCTAATGATTGAAACATGATAGCATTTTGAATGTGTTATCAAATAAAAATACTACACCAAAGGAATTTATAAAATTTTGATTATTGTTCAATTAATTGCACCATGAATTTTACATTGAAGTCTATGGGCAGCATATGTATAATTAAGATATTGTAAAAAGTAATTTGGAATTCATACAAATCTCTTGGTGAAAATATGCATAAACTCTCCATTTATTAAAATATGAAATAAAATAAATCATTTACCACAGATGTTTTGAAGAAATTAAAATTTTCTCAAATTTTTTGATAAAAATTTTTTATCAAAGGCAGATAACTCTTCAAAAAAGTTTAAAGTGCAAAATGGCCGGCTTCTTACATGTTATCAGTCATGTGAACTTGGTTCATTTCACTTTCACCATTATTTAGCAATGTATATTTAACTAGTTTAAAATGATTCAAAATTGTTCAATATCCCTTCATTATACATTGAATACCTTAATGATACATGTAACCTACATGTAACGAAATAAAAAACTTTATGATAAACTTTTATTATAGTCAACGTTACATATTTATGTAAAAATGTACCATTATAGCCTGCATGTAGATTTTGTGTCTTCAAGTTTGTTCTGAGTGGGGTGAGTGCTCTTCGTGAGGAAAATTTCTTCATAAATATCCTTACAGGCGAAGATATGTTTTCTGGTCCAGCAAATGCTCTACCAAACACATTTCTTTGCTCAACACAAAATATAACTGCTGTAAAATAGAACCTCAGACTTACTGTGCTAAAGAATATTCTAGAAGTTGTATAAATCAAATCTGGACTCCTATAAACTAATATGAAAGGAAGTTTTTATTAACATTTTTTTGAAAAATTAAACCTTAGTCACATCAAAAAAGGACCAATGACCGACGGTTAATAACGCAAATATAGGGTTTTTCGGGCGACAGTCGGCGGTTCATCGGCTGTTGTCTTGAACGATTTCGATATCTTTTTTTTTTCGTCATTTATTACAATTTCAAAATGTCCGTCTTTATCTTTTTGATAACTATGCACTAACCATGGGCGGATACAGGATTTGTGATTGGGGGGGGGGGGGGGCGTGGATAACTTTGTTCAGGCAGGGGGTCTGGGGGCCGCCTTAAGGCCCGAAGTGGGTCGAGGGCGAAGCCCTGGTGGGGCTCCTGGGTTTTCGTGAATTTTAAGAGTAAAACCAGGCACAAAAATAATGGTATTGATTACTTATGTACACTATGATATTTCACTTTATAAAAGAAAAACACACACACACACAAACCAAAAAAACAAGATATGTGTGTTGAGTAACTTCGACGGCACACGAGGTATTTTCGATCGATGCGCAAATATAAACGAAATTTTTCGCGTCATCTCTAATTTAAAAATATATATATATTAATTTAAATTATTCTGTTGTACAACTTAAAAGATTGTGAAAAAATGCTGACAAAAAAGTAATTTTCAAAATGTACCTAATTTGAAGACTTTAAGTGCACCAGGTCATGGTGCCTAGAGACTGATTTACCGATTTGTCAAGGCATGCTACAAATGTATATACATGTATATGCGCAGGCATCTAAACCGCATGTAAACAGAGCAGATGATTTTTTTTCACTGTTATAGAACTAGTTTCTACGGAGTATTCTTGTACATAATACTTATCCTAATAATTTTTTTTATACGGACGGTGGTCATGATTTTTTTCTGGTAACAAATAGCATTGCGTCATTTTCGTTGGTCGAACTGAGTTACAAGCTGACGCCGTATTCATGCATGGGTAACTTCGGCCGATTTCTGTTCAGCTGATTTGCATTTTATTTGTAAAAACTACATACTATACATTAAAAGGGTATGAATTTAAGTTGCAAAATTAAACACAGTTGATAAATTTCACACCAGGAATATCCACTGTGTCTTTCTATATAGACAAGATATTTTCAGAGATGATAAACTGAAAATTCCCCGCAATGGTTTAAAAATACTCGTCCGTAATTTTTCGGGCGATAAAGTTTCTTCTTGGATGTAATTTTCCAGTGAAGAAATAAATTTCACCTATTATTATCGACATTGATTTGTATATAAAAAATGCATTTTCTTTCTGCATAAAAAAGATGTGTGTACACTATAATGGGTTATAAACAAATTATTTTAAGGTATTTATGAACTGCATAGTTACACCATTTGATAAATAAATACATCAATCAGTGGACGGGTTTGTAACGTAGACCGTCTGATTTTAAAATTCATTTATTTACCTTCGACCAGCCTTTAAATATTGCAGTATTTTTCCTTGCATCATGATAGGAAATTGATAAGTGCAGTCTACCCTTCAAACGAAATCGGGAGACGTTTTCCGGTTTGAATAATTATGAAATAATATTCATAGCCTAGGGAATGCAAGGTTTTCAGACTTGATTTTTAAGAAAACCGATACTATGTCATTATATAAATAAAATAACCATTTTTTAATTGACCAATAATTATAAAACCAAAGTATGGCAATTATTAATATTAGTCATGTCATACTTTGAAAATTTTAGGGGGGGGGGCGTGCGCCCCCCACGCCCCCCTTAAATCCGAAAGTGCTAACTACACTATATAACTTTATAAGAAATCAGCAATAATTTTAGAAAAGAAATCATGTGATCTTTATATCATGATACGAATATTGCTTTGAACATATCATATTGAATAAATCAAAAGGATTGGAAACAAGTTCTTACAACTTACTAGTTCCTCTCCTTACAAATATTCATCTTCAATTCGATATTTAGCTCTACATCATATTTTGCCATTCCCTTTTAAGCGAGATCCAATCACTTTCGTCGACAAAATAAATATTTAAGCGAGTGGAAATGACATAATACGTTATTGGCTAAGCCAATTATCTTTCTTGAAAGAAAAAGGATCTGTTATTTAAACCAGATCAATTTGCGAATAAGTCAACATCAATTTTGAAATACAGACAGTAATGTTGTCGTTATTGTTAAACATACAGTGCAATATGACTTTTCTCTCTGTTATATGTTTCGTTGTTGTCTTTTTGAGGCTATCTCAAGCTACCAATGTTTCAAAGAACTATAACGCCAAACCGGAATTTGATAATAAGAAGTCAAATGAAGAACTTTTAGGAGAATACAGTGTTCACTCGTTGTGTGAGTGTTCTGCTATGTGTCAGAATGAATGCGATTTCTACGGGTACAATTCTAAGTTGAAGAAGTGTCGTGTCCACAAGAAGATCTTCACTTCCTCTTCCGGAATGTCTGACGAGGCCGGATGGAGATATTATTCTCGTTGTATGCATATCCATTACTTCTCTCTCTCCATCTGTCTCTTTCTCTCATTCACTCTCTCTTCCCCTCACTCCCCACCTCTCTCTCTCTCTCTCTCTCTCTCTCTCTCTCTCTCTCTCTCTCATAAGCACACACACAGACACACACCAAATATGATTACCTCTGTTAAAAAATAAACTGTATTTTATTTTATTTTTTATTTACAAAGAATTTGAATTTAAAATTTTTAAAAGTTAAACTATAATGAATTTATTATACTAAAGAAACTCATAAATGTGATTTATGTATGCTAGTAGACGATGAAGATACCGAGAATACTTTTCACGCTTTTAAAGTGTATTGATGATTAAGGATTTTAAAGGAATACAAAATTGCTGTTTGATATTAATTTGAAATGAAAGTGAATACTGGTATATCAGTCGTTATTTTTAAAAATCCTTATTACTTTTTATTCAAAATACTTACAATCACATAGCTTTTTTATAAGGCTGTGAAGCCACCTGATCCAGAGATCAATGCTGTTGTCATTAAAAAGATATAAAATTCTAGAAAATCTAAAATTGTACATAATATTAAACAATAGCTTTAAAGATTTTACGTTTTAACATCCATTTCCAGTGTTTTTAACACCTATGATTTTTATTTAATTTTTTTTTAATTTCTAACCTAATGTGTTTTTTTTAATTTCATAAAACTAACTCGTTTGTAATGTTTTTAAATATTATTAATTCGGGAACATTTTTATGTAATGTAACTATCCGATTTACAATTTTATTGTTTTTTTTTTTCTGCCTTTTTCTGATTCATTCTTTTTCTTTGCACTATAATGTACATTTATTTTGATATAGTTTAATTGGTAAGCGCCTTAGGGTTAGTTTTATTATATAGGACGCTTTTCAAATGTTTTATTTATTATAATATATTGGAAATCTAAAACTGAATTATTATTATTTTGCCAATACAGCGTATCTCTTCTTTAATACTTTCTTAATACATTCTTATCTACCTTCGCTCTAGGTTGATTTGTCTTTTCGTACAAAATCGTCTTAGTAAAATATATGGAGATAATGAACATTATTCAAGCTCAAAAGTCCATACAGACAATACAAATCAGGAGCAGAGCAGATACGCTCCATAGGCACTCCCCAGCTTAATTGTTAAAAAATATATATCTACTATAAACATAACAAGGCATGAAACTAGCCTCCATGTTGGATTCCGCTTAGGGGCACTTTCTGACTAATAGCGAGAATTTCTCGCCTAAGTCGGACTTTTCTCAGACATCGAAAGCTGTCATTTATTGAAATAAAATAAAATCAGGTTGAATCTTGCAGTACGTTCGTCGCATTCACGCGTTTTCTAACATTTCTCTGCAAACTAGGTCTCCTCGGCCGGAGCTAAAAGGTTTATGGGGGTATAGATTATTTGATCGTCGTTTACCTTCAAAGTGCGTCTCATTGAAAGCTAACGTTGTTTTTCATAACGAACGAATGTACCGTGAAATAAATATAATTTTACATCAGTAAGACCTTTCAAGATTTTATATACATTTTCAGGTCCATAAAAAGCTGTTTCAGTGTGTTTGTGTGTATGTGTGTGTGTTTGGGGGGGGGGGTGTCAACTAAACAATTCTTTGACAAAAAAATATAATTGAAGGAGGACAGTCCTAAGTTAGGTTTGTTTTCTGTTGCATAGTATTAGTATATTCATGTATTGGCAAAATTATAGGGGCGAAAGGAGGGGGGGGGGGTCACGTTTAAGCAGATGAGTCTTCAATACAGAGGTGGATTTGACCGGGGGTGGGGGTGCGGTAAAAAAAAAATAAATGTATAGTAGATAAATATAATAAAATAAAGCGGATGTATACCAGGAATAAAAAAATAAATTTATTTAAATAAATAAATATATACATAAGCAATCATGAAGACAGTAGCAAATCTATCGGGGGGAGGAGGGGGTTCACCCCCTTTCAAATTTTTAAGAAAAAAAAGAAAAGGGAGTAAATATTCAATATAAAAGAAAGTCTTGATAAAACTTATGCTTTAATACTAATTTTTACTGCAGTTATTTTTAGTTTCTATTACCACTTAATCATTTTGACCGCCCCCCCCCCCCCTTTGAAATCCCGGATTCGTCTCCGGATTCGTCTCTTGAAAGTGTGTTACTTACATACATGTAAAGTATAACTTTTATTGCAAAATAAATAAATATACAAGTACATGTATATTTTATCCTGATAGGGGGACTTATTTCTTATAGATGGATTCATTCAAATATGCTATAATAAAATGGGACAGTTCTAAAGTTTAATAAAAAGTTCAAAAATTTCACTTAAATATTATACAAGTGGTTTGGATGTTTTAAATATTTTGTAAGGGTAACTATTTCTAAGCATATATTTTGGCATGTTCACATCACCGTTAATATATACAAAGCTGAAACTAACTTCATCAGCTCACTCTTTGTCGATTTTATAACAGTGTTCCACTGAGAATGATAGCATGTATGGCATTAGTTTTGACCAAAAACCAGCTTCGGTCCAGTTAAAAAATGCAAAGGCAGCTAGATTAGCAGTCATTTAATAGACTAGTTTACTATGAATACGTCATTACAATGAAGTTCCTGAGCCCCGCCTCGCGCTGATTTCACTGCGACAACCACATATAAACACAAACATATATACACAAAGAGTTAAACTATTAATTTCTTCATGTGCAAGATTATAAAGTGTGAATTTGCACATGACAACTACAGTAAAGGATTCAATTCGTGATGCGTAATTCTGAGGGGACAATTATTTGATTCTGATAGATGCTGGCAGATTTTGGAGAAAAAAAAATATGTCCTTGAAAGTGTTGAAAAAAAAAAAACTATTTTCCACTAGGAAGAAAATAAATTAATTGACTTTGAGTGATGGTAACCCCACCTCACCCCACCTTCAACCCCCGCTCCCAACACACACTCTAATTTTCCCATTTTTTCTTTATTTTTTCCTACCCACTTTTTTGGTGTAATAGAAATAAAAAAAACTTTCCCTAATCATCTTGGAAATAAATATTCTGTCCTTCAATGACATGAAAATAAACATTTTGACTCGAAAAAAATTCCACCCCCTTTAGAATCAAATTGTCCTTTAAATTGTATTATTCTGTTTTGGTGTCTCTGTAACATCATTGAATTTTCAACAACAACAACAAAAAAAAAGCGCCAAGTCTTTTCTCTGTGTATAGTTCTTTTTCTTCCAATATAACTCACAATTTTCGTGCAGAACTTTCCTCTGCAAATATCCGCTTTATTTTATCATATTTATCTACTATACATTTACCCTCACCCCACCCCCGGTCAAATCCACCTCTGTATTGAAGACTCATCTGCTTAAACGTGCCCTCTCCTTTCGCCCCTATAATTTTGCCAATACAGGAATATACTGATACTATGTAATAGAAGACAAACCTAACTTACGATTGTCCTCCTTCAATTATATTTTTTCTTGTCAAAGAATTGTTGTTTAGTTGACCCCCCCCCCAAACACACACACATACACACAAACACACTGAAACAGCTTTTTATGGACCTGAAAATGTATATAAAATCTTGAAAGGTCTTACTGATGTAAAATTATATTTATTTCACGGTACATTCGTTCGTTATGAAAAACAACGTTAGCTTTCCATGAGACGCACTTTGAAGGTAAACGACGATCGAATTATCTATACCCCCATAAACCTTTAAGTTCCGGCAGAGGAGACCTGGTTTGCAGAGAAATGTTAGAAAACGCGTGAATGCGACGAACGTACTGCAAGATTCAACCTGATTTTATTTTATTTCAATAAATGACAGCTTCCGATGTCTGAGAAAAGTCCGACTTAGGCGAGAAATTCTCGCTATTAGTCAGAAAGTGCCCCTAAGCGGAATCCAACATGGAGGCTAGTTTCATGCCTTGTTATGTTTATAGTAGATATATATTTTTTAACAATTAAGCTGGGGAGTGCCTATGATACGCACTTCTAAAACATCAGAGGTGGGATCAGGTGCCATAGAGGAGCGAGCACCCCCTGCATTATGTACATCAAAACGCAATTTAAACTTGTACATTCTTTATTCTCCCCTTTTTTAGTTATTCCTACTGATTGTAAGGAATTTCATGATAATGGTCACACTAATTCAGGGGTGTATGTAATTTACCCCTATTGGACCAGCTCCCGTCCTGTCAGAGTTTACTGCGACATGGAAACATTAGACGGAGGGTGGACGGTATGTGCATGTACATTATCCAAACAATAAAATGACTTTCTTTGGTTCTTAGAAAGGAAAATAATGCTGCTGCAGCTTTTGCAGAAAAATGCAGAAACGTAAGCAGATCATGTAATTCTTTTCTGCAATATAAGCAACGTTAATCACCATACGAAGAAACAAAGAAAGTCATTTTACTGTTTATATTTATATCTTTATAAATAATCATCTAAAGTAGGATTAAGAAGATTATACTTTGTATTATTCATGTGCACGCCATTGAATGTTTCATTGATGGAAGAGCCATTATTCAAAGATATGCTTATTACTGTTTACTGACTGATATACAACAAAGATTTTCAAATAAAGTAGAAGACATTCAGTGGATGTAAATATTTCAAAAGTATAGTGTTTGTTACAATTTGCACTTACTGTTTGTGTTGTTCAAAGCATGGTAGGATGGTGAAAAATATACATGGTTTGAGTCTACATCTTTTGCATATTGATCATACAAATGTTTGGAAGAAATGTTTGGAAGAATGATGATTTTAAAATTTACATATTTATTTTTAAAGGCAATCCAAAAACGAGTTAGTGGATCCCTGACCTTTGACAGGAACTGGACAGAATACAAGAATGGTTTTGGTTCCCCGGAACAGGATTACTGGGTTGGTAAGTGTAAATCTCATTCAAATAGTAAATTCAAATAGGGGCTTTCATCCGCTATGGTCTTAGAAAAAAAATTCGTTGTTTTGACACATATTATAAGACTGGATAATATATGTTCAACGATACTCGCTTATTGTGTTTACTTACTTTTAATCAGTCGATTTAATTGACAAGAAGAAGTAAAAAAAAAAAAATCACTTTGTGGCAAAATATTTGAAAGAGACATTTAGCACATATGTCTATAGATAAAAAAAAAAATAATTTGATTTTTCCTTAACATATATTTAAATGAAAAACAAATATTTTTTTTATCACTGTTCGTTATTTTTACCTTTTACATTATTTTCAAATAATTTGAAATATTTCTTAAAACAGGAAATGACGTAATCCATCAGTTAACAAAAGTAAAGGACTGTTTCCTATATGTTTCTATCACTGTACAGAATGGTACAAGGTTGTACGAACTGTACGATAAAGTCTCTGTTTCCAATGAAGCAGGGAAGTACAGAATCCTTCTGGAAAAACCTGCCACAGGAACTTTAGGTATGTTAAAAGTAACTAATTATGATATGGATCCAATGACCTTGTTTACAAATACAGTCTGTCATTTGTTGAAAGTCCACATCTTATAGTGGGGCCACCCAGTGCCTTGAGTCTGTCTTCCAATCATAATATGTAAAAGAGAGGCCACACTTAGGCCCTAGAGTCCTTCAAGGCGGTTGGACAAAAATATCAAAATTAATTAATAAGTATATAGAACAAGAATTAGAAAAACATATTTTTTTTTACACTTAATCTAATGTTGTTGAATCGCTTAATAACAAAATGCAGAAAGGTTAAGGAACACCAGAATTAAAAATTCGCAACATTCAATCCTGCATTTATCCTCCATTTAAACGAATTAACAGCACGGCATCTGTTCATCAGAGTTCACACAATTATAACGGGAAAAAAAATCTTAATTCAAGGTTATTCCATGTGTTGCCTAGGTTTCCCTCTAGTTTCGCTAGATAATGCGACTGAAAAAGCACTCACTTTCCGGTCTATCTTATCCTATACATGCTCTTACTATTGAGATGTGGATGGCAAGGGGGCTAACCGAAATTGCCTGTGCCTTGCCGACAATATTAATCCTACAGTACATTAGGTCTTCTAGCATGCATTCCCCAATTCCACATTCCTCCAGTTTGTTCCGTACAATTTGGACACTGAGGAGACTTACATGGCTTTTTAATGTATGTCGTGCAGTTGCACATGCAGTTAAATTCTTTCCACAATAGTGAGTAATTCTCATTTAGCGGTCCTGATGATGTGTCGTTACACTACGTTTAGCCAAGGAGGAAGGACTACACTTCCGGTTCCAGTTAACTTCTGGATAAACCCAGGGTGGTTTTGTAGTTAAGAAATCAAGCGATGTTAATAATTGTAAGAAATTTAAGTATGATATTTTTAAAGGTTGTAGGCAAAACAAACACATACGGTGAAAGAAAACAGACCTCTTGTTAACCAAGTTTTACCATGCCATCTTCACTTTCACATTCTTGTGTGGACAATCACCACATTTAATATTTTTTTTTTTGTTTTTTTTTTTTTTTGTTTTTCATAATCAACTTAAGGTAGAAAACACATAGAAACTAAAAAAAATGAAAATAAACAAGCTAATTCAGAGAATTTGTGTCCCCCGCTTAGGGAAAAGGAAGAGCAGGCGCTGTTCGAGGTGTTGTGGGGGGGGGGGGTCACACTGCCCCCTGTATTTGTAGAATTATTAAATGTATACATGTATATTGAAGCAAATTTTAAAAAAAATGCCAATATGGATATAAAGATTTCATTGCTTATTCTTTAATATGTGTATAGAAGATTATTTTTAATATACAGAATATTTAATTTATAACACTGTAATAATGATTTTATGAGTTTGTGCACGTCAAACATCATAACTTTTTCATTTCACATGTTGAATAGTATCATTCAGTAAATAAAAAAAAATAAATTAAAAAAAAAGAGAGAGAGAGAATCGTCCGGGGATTGAACCCGGACTTCTCGCTTGCTAAGCGAGCATCATACCACTGGACCACGGAGGTACTTGATTATAGATTAAATTCAAACATTAACTCACATATAATGTTTATATTGACGTTTGATATTGTCAGAATTTTAATCAATACATGGTGTCTAATTTAGCCTTTATTAAACAGTTCTAATAGATGTAATAAGAATATACTGTCCGCCGACAACCTGTATTATACGTAATAACTCTCCAAAAGCCCCTGTGCTAAAAAATAGTGCCATGCGACTTTTAATACAATACATGTAAATAATAATTAAAAAACGGGACCTTTTGACCTCAAAATCAATAGAGGTCTTCATTAGGCCACAGGAAGTTGTTATGTAAAATTTCGTTGAAAAGCTCAAAGGATTCTCGAGATATGGCGTGGAAACGAAAGTGTTAAAACAGACAGAATTTATGAATTTATGACCTTGACCTTTGACATTTTGACCTCAAAATCGATAGAATTCTTCTTTAGGCCATAGGAAGTTAACGTTCCTATGCAAAATTTCATTGCGAAAGCTCAAAGGGTTCTCGAGATATCGTGCGGAAACGAAAGTGTTACAGACAGACAGAAATACAGACGGACGGACGGACGGACGGACAGACAGACCCAAATTAATATCCCCCACTTTCATTGAAAGCGGGGGACAAAAATGAAAAATACAAGATGGAACACGTACTTCATGCTTTTCAACAAAACGGTCACATTAGATTTATTACACATTCGATCAGAATTCTTTTGGCCTTGAAAGAAAATATATAAAATTTTTGGCAAAACTATAGGCCACTTATAAATTGATGTAAATGTTTTTAAATTTTTCGAATAATAAAAAGTGGGGACTTAGAAATTTTGACAAGTATATATGTTCCATGTCAACAATGTTCATGATAGCTCAATGATCAAAGAAAGATAAAAATAAGCAAAGATAGTGGGTTTTTACAGTGTTTTTATAATTGAATCTTTTACAACAATTACTGGGACATCATTTTTACACTGTGTTATCACTTTGAAAGATTGCAACCTGTTGTATTGTATACATTTTAAAAAATATTATATTACATATTAATATTTCATTTATTCATTCTTAGAATTATTTTATCGATATTTACACAGAAAATGATCCACTGTTAATTTTTAAGATTCATTAAAAGTGCAAAGCGCTTGGAAATAATTGTTATATTTGAAAAGGTGCTATGTAAAGTTGAAGATAACGAATAATCATCAATCCAGTAGGCCAAATTGATCTGCAGAAGAAGGAACCTGGGAAACACCAGAAGTTGGATCAGGTGCCTAGGAGGTGTAAGCATCCCCTGCAGGTCCCCTTGAGACCTATGTTTTGATCAGGTAAAGCTAGTACTCTGCAGTCAAATCCATTACAAGAATATTGATCTAACCAATGGTTTAAAATACAATCCTACCGCAGAATAGGATGCTATATGAATTACGTATTGTATTTTAATATTTATTTTTATTTTTATTTCTCTTTACAAGAGACGGCATGAGAAAGCTTTATCTGTCTGGGATGTAGTTCAGTATTATTAAAAAATAAGATAAAATTGATATGAATAAAATATATCTGTAATTTATTTTCTCTACTTTTACAGGTGACAGTATGGCAAACACTGAGAGTCATATCTTTTATGCGACAGCGATGTACTTTTCTACCAAAGACAGAGATAGCGACTATTCTGGTTCACATAACCTTGCTAACTATTATGGAGGCGCCTGGTGGTTTAACGCGGGATACCACGCCTTCCTCAACGGTCCCTGGCCACAGGCAGAGTGGACCAATCCATGGTATCCTATAATTACATCCGGGTCATCTGTCAGAGAGACCATGATGTTGATCAAACGTCACTAGGTAAAAACATTAAATCTGAATAATCAATATCTTTTACTTCATGACATTTCCATGAATGTTTTAATCGGCAAAGAGACAATTTCTAAAACATATAAAGAGTACTCTTTTAGATTTCTTAATCAGTATTTTTTTTTTTTTTTTTTTTTACTTTCAACAGATTGACTACCACTCATAATCAAAGGACACATTTGTGATAAAAGAAATAAAATTAAAAATATGATGATCATAAGGAGATACCTATTCTTTTTTTGAAATATTTGTATATTTAGGAAGAAAGATTGTGAATAATTGTTTTAGAAGAGGATTTTTGATTGAACTATTTCTTGAAGTAATAAATTATTGTTAATTTTCTATACTGAATGTACCAAGTTAAACCTGTTTGTGTGTTGTAATAAATTAGAAATAAAAAAAATATTTAGTTCTAATTTACAAACTCTGCCACATGACGTTCCTGGGTAGATAATCAAAATGAAAATTGCACTATTGTAAATGGTATTGCAGTGGAAACTGTTTAATCCGACACCTGTGCAATCCGTTTCACTATGTATTTCGACATTCAATTTCATTCCCAATTCTACTAATTTCCATTACCTTTACACAGTGCAATCCGACATACTGTTTATTCAGACACAAAATGTGTGTCCAAGTGCATATCAGAGTAGACAGGTTTCACTGCATTGAAGATACTTTTGTTACAAAGTTAGAAACATTTGATGTTCATGCTGTGAGTACATTATATTCAAGATTATTCTTTTCCAAGGGTGATATTCCCCATCTTCTGTCATGCTTGCAATACTTTGAGAGGATGAGGAAATATAACTCATTAATCTACCATGCAGTATAATTGCTTTGGTGGATGCTCTTGTTTCATTTTAATTTTGAAGGAAAAAATAAAGCTTTTTTTGACATCAATGGTACTTCTTAATCAGATTAATACAAATTGAATTGTATTATTTATATATTGATATTGTTCTCCATCCAGAGTTGTCGTTCCTGCTACGCTCCCTTATACACCTCTGTCAACAGTTGGTATACAAGACTCTTGGAAAAATTGTAAATGGTGAAAAATTAAATTTAAAAAAATCTTTTAAATCATAATATGTATCAGTATAAAGAACATTTTTAATCTATCATCCCATTAAAGTATTTTTCCCTAAGTTTTTATTACTACTCAACAAAAATGTTCATTAATAACCGAGAAAATAAATCTTTTTAAGGAATGCTAGGTTTAAAATAATGATAAACTTTCAGCTTTATTGATATTTTCGCTAATTTATTATGATTTGAATTTTAAACTTATTAACTTATTTACTTATTAAAACTTTAACAAGAATCTTGTACGAGCCTTGACAGTGGTGTTGGGGGCGCCAAGAAAGACAACTCTGGGTAGAAAATGATATTTATATCGATTTACGATTTACATGTCATAAGAAACGTAGTAGTGCCAGATTCGTGCGCCTGACAGGTCTAATGTATTGTGGATATTCTATGATGCAAAAGGTCAATGACAAATAATCACGTTTTCTGAAGGTCAATATCACATTTTGCTAGAGTTAATCATTTCAAAAGAAAAAGTTGAGTTTTGCAGCTTTTTTTGTGTGTAAGTTATCTTTAAGAGCATTAAATCTAATGATTCTAAAGAAAATGACATTTTTATATCGAAAAAATAAAACTTAAAAATATTGAAAATGATGTAAGTGTCCTTAGAAAAAATCGATTTGCGCTGATGTACATACCTTTGTGTTTGGGACATTTTAACACTCTTTAATTTAGTCTAAACAAACTACAAAGAGGGAAAAATATATTTGCACTAAGAACCTATTCGCTTCGGCATTGTTTATTACATAACATGAAGTGGAGATCCAATTGTTTTTCTTCTTAAATAAATATATGATATATAAATGATATATAAATGATATGTCTTTAAAAATTTCTAGGGATAACTGTGATGACTTCCACTTTTCTATCTTCAACTTCTCTTATTTATGTAGCAATATGCCATTATCACCTTTTTTTAAATCTATTCATTACACATGAGCATAATCTACGTAGGAACAATTTCTAAAATGAGGCAATATATTGACAAATAACTTGATGGTACAAAAAAATCAACAATCTCGTTTTAAGTCAACATTTTGCAAATTCTATGGTCAATACAATGACCACGACAGCAAAATCAGTCCTTTGTTAAATCGAATGTTGATCGACTTTTATCATACAAATTGTTCGGCCATTATTTTAACACTTGAAAGTCTAAAGATTTTCCCGTTTCCCCGGTCATAACAAGGGACACAAGGCGGGTGTAATCTGTCCACAAGGTATGTTTACGCCTCCATGGCACCTTATCCCACCTGTAAAGTTTTTTTTTTTTTTTTTTTTTTTTTTTTTTTTTTTGTATGCTTGCTTTTCCATGACCTTTGATCCAACCTCTGATGTTTTAAAGGTTTGTGTTTGCTCTGCTCCCAATTGTACTTATTCAGTAGACTTTTGAGCTTGATTACTGTTCTTTACCTTCATATTTAACTTGATAAGATACTCGTTATTTTAAATACAAGGGGATTTAGCTAATATCATTACCGAGAATACTATGCATACTTGGAAACAAAATGGTGTTTGAACTGTAAAAATAATATTTTGTAAACAATCAGCTATTTTTCAATCAATTAATCTTAAGGAAATTGTCTTCTAATTTACACATATTTGATTTTTTTTTACTGAACGATTTTAGTTTTTGAACCAATTATCATTGCATTGACCGAATAACTGGTTAACCGTTAACAATTTTTCATCCATAGTATATTTATACATAAGTAAGGGAGACTGATCAGAGAAAAGATTGAATCGTATTAATTATAAAGTTGTTGATAGTACATTGTATGCCTTTAATATCTTTTATATTAAATTGATCAAATATGTACACATGTGTCATATGTGTGACCTGTCGGCAGGAGATGCTCACTCCATCATGGCACCTCATCCCACCTCTCCTGTTTAATGGGCCCGTGTTTGCTCTGCTCCTGATTGTATTGTTTATATGGACTTTTGAGGAAACGGTTTTGGTTTAAGTAACCAAAAATAGTTATATGTTCTAATCTCTCTCTCTCTCTCTCTCTCTCTCTCTCTCTCTGTAGTACATCAGGTAGCTTGTTTAGATGTTCCTTGTAATTGTTCCGCTTGTGATGACACGGGCTGCATATTGTATGGAGACATGCAAGCAGAACTTTAAACTGATTGCACAGTAAGTGTAGATCCCGAGGGTCCTTCATAGGGTGGCGGAGATACAGTGCTAGAAGTAGCGTCAGAATCATAAGCCATGCATCCAACAAATGTGTTCCGAGCTGAAATTAAAAAAAAATCTTCAAAAATTGATAGGAAAAAGAGTGCATAAACTTTCCAAACGGCTTTTATGCCTACTCTAAATAATCATTTCCTTAGTGCTTTTCTTCATTATTACTTTCATACGATTTCTTATGTTATAAGAGAGTTTTAATTTATTTTTTTTCTTTAGAAAACGTTTAATTTCAGTCTTATTTGATTTAGTATAACATAAAGCTTAAAATGTTTCAGTGATTCAGTATTTATATGTCCGTGTATTAGACAGAACATTCAAACGGTAATATGTATACAGTGTTAAGGTTTAAATACATGGATTGATGTAAGACACTGTTGGTTGCATTGGTCTGACAGTCGTGTTTCCACAATTCGGCTTTTTGCAGATTTTAGCACATCTGACCACGAGGCACAGGAGGAAGACAAGTCCTAAAATACTCCCAATTACACCTCCAGCGACTCCTCCTGATGAAGAATAACTGATCGAAATAAAATAAGAGTAATAAATAGTTCCATGTTACAATCAAGTACAGTGTCAATAGTGTCTAAACTTATGAGTTACTGCATCTACAAATGAATGATTGTTTTAAAACCGACCTCTAGTTGTGATGGGGTCTTTGGATTATATATTTCATATTACATATTTTACATTGTATTTCATAGAATAGAAATGTGGAGGACTTCTGCTCATCATGAAATAAGAATTGCAAAATTTAACAATAAATTAATCTACATATGTTTCATACATGTATATTTAAACACGGCGAAGAAGACCAACACCCACAGGATGAAACTCTGCCATTCAGTTAACGGAAACGTGACTGAAAGATTACTGAGAGGGTGACGGAATAGCAAAGCTCTGCGGTCACTTTTCAAGACCTTTCAGTGACCATTCAGTTGACTGAAAGGTGTGGTCTCATCCTGTGATGTGGGGTCAGCACTGGATGACATCACTCTTCATCTACTTCTATTGATGTAGTCTATGGCCCACCATATCCTCCCAAGCTGGCCATGTTCTAGAGAGCCAAGCCTCCGATGCGGACAATTTAGCACATCATCACATCCTTAAAAATTGTGGTCGTTGCCAGCGTTGCGCAGTGGTTAGAGCGGAGTAAGGAGTTGATCCATACGTCGCGGGTTCGAATCCTATTGCGGGACGTAGTAGAGACCGGTCCTTCGGTTGAAACCAAGCAGTTAGGGTTCTTTATAGTGCCATGGACTAACTTGACACAGGGCCTCGGTTTTCAAGGTCTCATTCGAAGGAACCTCTACTTTCACTCCAATATGCCGAGCGCTTGGTAAAGGAACAGTTGCTACCTTCTTTTTTTTTTTACTTAGGTCAGTCGCAGTCGTGATTCGAACACACGACGTTCCGATCACGGAGCGAGCGCTCTACCAGCTGAGCTACCGTGACGGTCGAGGATTAGTGGAAAGGATTAATGGGAACGTACTAATCACCAAAAACAAGACCAGATCATTGGATGTTAAATTAAAGTCAATCTTGATATCATTATTATCACATTTGACATTACAGATTATATAACATTATGTTATTCTCGAATGCATCAGTATCATTCATGTCTAGCAAAACAGCAGAAATGAAGTTTGAATCAGGTCAACATATGTCAAATATCCTTATTAGATTAAGCAATGGATGTTTAATTTCAATC